AGCGAACTGATTCTGTTTGATATCCTGTTGCCTACGTACCTGACAAACAGAAACGGGGAAAACGAGGAATTGACTATCTTGAAACTTGCACACAATTCCCATTTTTGCTCATTAGATAAAGAAGAGCCCTTTCTCAACAAATTAAGAACATGCATTACTGGCTATGCCATAGTCAGACATGGAGCAACACGCCCTAGAATTATAGGGCTCCCTCAAAGTACATCATATTCGAAATTCACTGGAGGAGTCTTAAAGAATCTGTTGTAATTACATGAACATGGTTTCTAATTTATTTAATTCCCTTTCCTACCTAAACTGTACATATAAGTGAATTTTAAGAGACCGTATAAATAAATTTTTAATTAAAAATGATGTTATGCAATACATTATTAATAATAACCAACAATGTATAATGTTTATGCATGAGTCCATTAGAAAGATGAGCTAATATATGTCAGTGGTAAAGAACGCACTAATTTGTCCTGAATCTGTGAATGAAGTCAAATTCATGCGGCAAGCCAGCGAGTGCATTAGCACAGTGGGCTTCAACATGCTATGGTTGTTGGGAGACATCGGTTGCCCGCGGCATGTAAGAGGTACTTAGGACTTGTTCATCACATGTGGTCAACATCTTATTTTTCAGCGAGCCATGCGGTTGTGAATTTTGGAAGAAGACCTTTGAGTGACACTACTGCTTTCCCAGGCAGATGCAGAGTAAACGGCCAGCAGCGCTCAAGAAATGCACACGCCCTTCCTCCAGCTGGGGTCGGGCGTCCTGCAGCGGCTCTGCGGCAGGCCCCGGCCTAGCGGTAACAGATCTCTGAAATCTCCATGGCCAGCTCCAGACACTCGCCGGTCTCGTGACAAGATTCAAACAGGCTGCAGTCCATGTCACAGTTGCAGTTGCAGTCATTCCAGGAGTGGCTTTCGTCCGAGGTGTGGTGGTACCGGTAGGAGGGGCAGCACGCGTTGGTGCACACCGTCTCACACGTGTCTGGGAGCATCAGGAGACAATCCAAAAACTGGCAAAAGAGGCAGGTGAGGATGAGGGAGGCACATTCCTCTGTTTAAAGAAGAAGAGAGACAGTGAGCAGTGGCACCCGTGGCAGCATCTGTGCAGGGCTGGTGTGGGCGTGTACTTGGTAACTTCACTGCCCTTCTGAGCTGTTGTCCACATCAGGCCAGTGGGCACCGGTTCTCTCAGGCTCTCCCTCCTCCACGTAGTGCTCACCCTACTTAAGTGATGGCTTTATTAGCTGCTGAGCATCTCCTATTGATCCCACATAATCAGGTCATTTAAAGCGCTGTCACCTCTACACTCCCTTATTTACTTGGCTTGCAGAGCTGCTGGGAGTCACACAACTGGGAACCTTGCAACTGTCTGAAAACCAGCAGGTCCTCCCCAGCAGAGGTGGTTCAGGAGCAGTTAGAGTCGGGACAGGGAAAGGCTACAACCTCCTGGATTTTTGTCTCAAGGCTTTCTTATTTGTTTGATGTGGATTCCCATAAAGGTGCCACACTTATATTCACATCCAGGCAAAAAGCAGGTTTCAAAACTTAATGTCCGTAACTTTTAACCAACCATCGTTTTTTGTTTTTTTTATTGTATTCTATGTTTAATCCTTGTCTCTTGTTTTCCTCCAGTTATATAAAACCGTGGTTAGAAGAGTACGTCATTATGTTCCTAAAAGGGTATAAATCTGATCAATCCCCTTAAAGAAACTTGGTTTAAAGATTTACTATGCAGACTTGTAAAAATCTGAAAAGTATCTCTAAGGCCTTGAAGGTAATTGGTAATTCTAGCCAAACAGCTGTGATGAGTTATAGGTTATTATATTTTTTGTTTTCATAAAGGGAATTAGTTAGAAGAGGTAGCAGTTCTCTTGTTAAAATTATAACTTTTCTTTTTAGTTAGAAATTTCTCAAAAGTGGGAGTTTCTGTAAAAACCTACATAAGTGTTCACATGACATATCTTGTTAATTAAATTCAGAACCCTGAAAATTGTTGATGGTTGAAAGTAAGGATTTCCCCCAGAAAAATATTAATAGCTTTTGCTTTTCAGACTTTAGTTCACGGAGACCGCACTGCCCATAGGAAGGCTTGCTGTCCAGCCATTTGCCAGAGCTACAGCCCCACTCATTCAGTCTTAACAAATTTCCCAGAAAACTTTTTTCTTTCATTTTTCATATACTTGTGAATCTTTAAGAAAGAAGAAAGAGCATGGAAACTTTTTTCTAAAAAGGAACAAATGTTTTAAAGATTGTCATTTTAATTTCTTTTACAAGACACTACATAAGCTGTGCCAATGCCCAAAGCGAGTCCTGTCTGGGTGGACAGAAATCTTCCTTCCTGTCTCTGCCCTCCCTCCCGTCCCGGCCCCTCCCTTTCCCAGTGAAACATGGTAGAGAGCCACATCAGGACTTTCATGGCCACTTTAATTGCCATATATTGTTGCAGGTGCTGTGGCATTGCTCAGTATTTATAGTGCAGGCAGCATATTCCATAATACCTCTGTAGTATGTTCTCATCTCTTTCTAGCATGTGACCAACTCACCCATATCTCGTAAGTCACCGCAAAGCACGCACAAACATTCAGGAGTGAGCTCAGTGCAATAACTCTATTTTGCTTATGCGTTTCTGACCAGGGTGTGTTGGTGGTCAAGATCGGGGGCTTAAAACCTCACCAAGTGTCACCAATGCCCAGCCTGCTACTGCAGCAGCCCCGCAAGAGGAGGTCCTCCACGGGAAATAACCCAGGACCCCTCAGGCCGGACGCTCACGAGACCTACTCAGGGCATGGCCCTGTGACAGCGACCCCACCAGCGCTGTCCTTTGCGGAGGAGACATTCAGAGTTAGTTTGGAGGTAAGTCGGGCGGGTGCAGGGCGGCGCGCCTGCATAGGAGCTAGTGTTTCCTGTAAGAGGATGAAGAACCTGTTTGCGAAGTGACCTTACGATTTCCTGAGGGCACAGAACCTTGGGTTCGGTTCCGAGTGCCAGGTCTCTGCAGGTTGGCAGGTGCTGGAGGCCTCTGCTTCTGACGTCTGCCATCGATTTTATTTAAAAAAAAAAAAAGATGTTTCACCCAACTCTTGGGCCAAATTAGCATTTCTTTCCTTCTCCCTCTACTGTGCACTTGAGAGTAGAGCGCGTTTGCTCTGTCAGTCCTTTTGATTTGATTACAAAAGGCAGAGCCTTTACCAAAAACATGGCAACGTTAATGAATTGAAAACAGATCTCCCCAATGTTCAAGTGTGCTCTACACGTTCCCTAAAAGTCATATGAAATCATTCTTCACGAGCAGCGTAAGCTGTTTTGCACACAGGGTTTTTCTTGTTGTTTTTGCACAGAAGTAGCGGAGCATTCATGTGGAAGCAGCGAGATGGCATGTAACCAACTGGTCAGAAGCAGAGCGGGACTTGCCCTTGCGGTGGATGCACTGTCTTTGTCTACACGACTCAATGGGGTTTTAGTGCTTAATAAGCACGACACTCAAAGTCACATCCATGATGGCCGCCCGTCCTCTCAGCCCATCCCCAGAGGGTGCTTGCCCCCAGCTGCCTGCCTCACTCACATCTCTTATGCAGTCGCTTCATGACACCTCACCCTGGCCCCGGCCCCTTTTTTTATGCACCAGCAGCCTGGCGGGCGATCTGGCACTTTCCTCTTCCTCATCATAGTGACATGGATCCTTCCCCGAGTCCCGCTGACTCTCTCAGATTTTTATTTGAAGCCCATAAGCCTCTGTCCGCATCCTTAGTTCGAGCCGCCCTCAGCCCTCATCTCAGCAGCAGCAACAGCCTCCTACCCAGGCCACTGCTACCCCTGAGCCCTCACACCTTCAGCGGCCACGAGAAGTTCAGCCATAAATGAGGACAACTCACCCTCTCGGAAGCCCGATCCTTGCTGCCCGCTGGGGCGGGAGGCGGTCCCCCTGCCCTGTCTCAGTCTGCTCTCCGCCTGCTCCCGCACCGCCGCGGGGTGACTTCCAGGCCCTGGGATGCCCCTGCGTCAGGGCCTGTGTCCTCCCCTCACAGCCTGAACTCCACCCAGCCCTGGTGGCTCCAGCCTCCAGCCCTGCCCTCTGACTCACGCCCTGCTGCAGCTCTCACGGCACCTGGCTGGTCTTCCCTTCACGCACAACCACAGAGGGACATTACACTAATTCCTTTATCGGTGAGCTTCTCCCCTCCTGGACCTCCGCCACAAGCCAGCCCTGCTCATGCTGACTGACCAAGCGGACCGGGAGGGAAAGGCATCGTGGGGCGGGGGCGGGGGTGAAGGCCGGCCGCTCCTCCTTCTGCCCTGCTGAGGGCCGCAGGCTGGTGGGAGCGCACCAGTTCCGGGCCCGACGCCTCCTCCGGGCTGGCAGCGGCCCTCACAGCGCGGGGAGGATGGTTAGGTGCCGGGAGGAGAGGAGATGGCGGAGCTGCTGCCAAGTTCTGGTGCCTCCCTGGTCCTCCACTTGGCTGTCCACCTCCCCTGCTACCTCCCTGGCACCCTCTGTGAATTTCCTCCCTCGGTTGAGCCCCGGGCATCCTGGCAGAGGTTCCAGTCACTGCTGTGGGAGTGCCCACCTCCCGTCCCCACTCTGTGCCCTTCTAAATGGGCCCAATAGCTTTCAGATGAATCCCAGAGCCGCAGGCCGCGCGGCAGTGCTGGCACCTCTGTGAGCAAGCGGCCAGGACAGAGCCC